TAGAGAAGGTAATTAAAATAATCATTGGGAACATCCATAAGTTACTGCATAAAAATGAATTTAAAAAAGAATTTTTTCTACAATAACTTTACCTATTTTTCACAAATAAAATTGGCTTTTCCAAGATTTATCAAATTTTATAGAGGAAATAAAACTTTGAAGAAAATTCGACAGCTAAACAACTATGAATGTCATCAGGAAATCAGGAGAAAGAGCTGTCGATATTTTCAAACAAAATTTAAATTTGTGGATAATTCTTCATTATTCTTTAAGCAGAAACTAGATTTTCCGGGGATCGACAAATTATAATTTTTTCGCTTTGCTTTTAATCTTTCAACGAAATACGAATTAAAATTAAAATTCATTGCCAATTAGCACAAATATTCTTATAATATCGTTTTTCATTTTACAGTAATAACAGATAATAATAGCATCACAGAATTCTATAAGCAATCATGAATATCATGAACCCGATCCCTTTAACTTAATGGAAACAAGTTTTGCCATTAAAAGTGAAAAGCAAGTGTTGTGGGAGACTCAAATATGCAAATGATACTATAATAAAAAAATTTTACCATAGCAGTCAATGGAGCCAGTGAAATCCAGAATGTTGCTAGGAAAAAAGTGTTTTCTAACATAAAAAAATTCTATGCGAAAATTCATTTCCTTTCAACGATCTCTTGTTTGTTGCCCTTTAAATTAGAATTGAAATAAAGCAGTTTTTCCGTACACATAGCACTTCCCAAATACACTGTTTGTTAAATTCTCGACAACAGCTGTCTCATCGCGAAAGATTCGCTGATAGGTTACAACAATTCGCGAAAGATTCGCTGATAGGTTACAGCAATTTATGCCATTAAATTCATTGGATTTTCCCTGAGAACAATCGATGCTTCATCCAGTTTAACTTTACTTGGTAAAATTTATATGAAATAACTAAATGTTTAAATATATTGATAAATATCGATTTGTCAAAAAATAGTTGAATATTAAAAAAATAGGCATAAATTCTAAATTTTCGCAGCTATTGTTTAATTACCGAACTTAGTTTATCTTCTTCTTCTCGCCTCAAGCGATCTGTCATTTTTAGCATTAAGTACATTTTCAGTATACACTTTTATATTTCATAGTTTTTTCATATATTTATGCGTATTAAAATTCTTATTTCATTTTTTATTTCTATTTTAATTCCTAATTTTTTTCGTTATTTTTTCGTAAGCCTTTTTTCATTTCCTTATTTTCCTAATTAATTTCTAATATTTACATAACTGTCGACTGAAATAATAATTGTAACGAAATAATTATGCCAATATTTTGACGATAGTAGCAGCAACGCTTCGTGTTTCTCCACGGATTGCCATAAGAGAAATTTCTTTTCTTTTTTGCAATACATTGAATTTCGTTCTGTTTTTTATTAAACATAAATAATAAATCTGCTAGGAAAAAATTGTTTAAAAAAATTTTTTCAAAGAGTTCTCGCCATTACTGGTTAAATTCGCTCCACTGGCTTGTCATATTGAGCAATATGCCATGAATTTCCTTGGCGATAGAAATACAGGTAAGTCGCGAGCATCTTCCGGATTTTTTTACAGGTTTACTCCAGTCCAGGGAATCGAATCTCAGCATCGACGCTCTCAGTTGAGCAACAACCCACTGAGCCATTCTATCCACATTTAAAAATATTTTAAAATATTAGGCTTTTTTGGATTATAAAATAGATAATTTAATATCAAAATTATTTATTCGTATTATTTATATATAAATATATATAAATATTATTTTTCAAAAGTTATGCAGTATAATCAAAATAAATGGTAATAAATAGTTTTTCTAATTAGTAAATAGTAAATGGTTCCTAATTTCCACCATAAATTTCCTCTATGCGCCTCGTTATTGCCTTAAAGCTTTGTTTATTTGTTGCTAATTTAATATATTTCCACAGAAAATACTACTATGTTACTTGATTTGAGCATGAGATTGAATAGAATTAAACGGAAGAAAGGCGTCCTGGAAGAAAACTAATTATGTCAGCACAATCGTGAAATCCTTTTAAATTTTAATTTCCATTATTTTCAACGTTATAAAATGCCAGCTTCAATTAAATTCTATGCTTGAAATTTGTATAAATCGCGTGATATTTATTCTCGATGCAAAGCAATCGAACTGAGAAAAACTTGGCTGAAAGGAAATGTTCGTTAAGCATAGAAATTTACGATTGCCTTTTTAAAACGTTGTTTGCGAAAACAAAAATTTTTTCATTGGATCTGACAAGGGAAATTCTTAAAAAAGGACAGTATAAATCAAGTTAATGTATTATTTCATGGCTGAAATAATCTTTGATGGATTATAGAAGAATAAAAGGACACATCTGACATATAAATCCAGCAGCTACCAAAAAAATCTCTCAAAAGAATATCATTATTGATATTTATCTAAACTTATCTAAAGTTGTTTAAAGTTCGCAACTTATCAGGCCATTGCTGTAACGCGTTTTAATACCATTTAAAATTTTAAAAAACTAAAATTTTTTCTATGTATTATCCGTGAAAGTAAATTGAGCGATAGAATGTCGAGTGTCATATTGCTTCGATGTTGCTTCGACGTCCCTGTCCTTGACGGCAGATTAGCTATTAGCAATTCAGATTATTGCGTTGAAAATAAGTGGTTTGATATTCGTTTCTGGACGTAAACCTGTTATTGAAAAATCAGTGTGGCTTATCTTTATTGTCAACTCCTTGACAATAAAAAATTTCTAACCATAATAAGAGCGGAGCGAGCCTGATTAGAAGTGATAAGTGTTGAGCATTTATTTAATTATCTTGATAAGAAAGCCATTAAAAGTAAAGTTTGAGTGATGCAAGGGACGGACATATACTTCATTTCTTAAATAATTCTGCAGGGACGATGCTTGCTGCTAGAAAGAAAAATAAAATAAATTATAAATTTTATTATGTTTAAAATGTTTTGTAAGTATTCCGTCTTTACGTAACTGCATGGCCATTTTCTAGCTTTTTCAACATATCGATGGAACACAAATTCCCAGAAACGATCTTTCAATATTTTTTCGACATTTCTTTCAACTCTTCAGCATGCCGTTTCTGATAATTTATTGCTGAGATTATAGCTTACACCGATCAGATAAATCTCTGCGGGGAATAGAATGTATTTAGTTTCCGGATTCTATGTTTTTTTTGAATCTATCTTTGAAGCTATCGATTATTCTTTTATTTTTTTTCACTTATCAGATTTCGATAGACTCGTAGAATAAAAAAGGAGATTAATAAAAAAACAAAAGAATTTTCATATTGCTTCTTTGGAAGTACCATTATAAAAAATCTCAAAATTATTTCACCACTGGACATTATGCTGCCTTTTTATCGTTAAAGGTTAAATTATTGAATATGGTTAAACTTATAGATAAATAGTTGATTAATCGGTGGTGTTTCTATTTCTTTGCTTACATAAGAATTTAACTTCTATTCAATAATTCATCATCATATCATGATCAATAGTTATGATTCAAAATAAATCTGATCTTTTCTTTTTTTAGATCAAACTGGATCAATGGATTAGATCGTCATCACTATATTTGTTGTCAATCAATCAACAAATATGTATGATGATACTGATGAAAATAAAATGTTTATAGAAAGAAATGAATTCGTGAATCCGTCAGTTATTTAGAAAATTTTTGAAATTTAAAATTTTTAGAAAATTTAGTTATTGTAGCTTTGTGATTTGATATATTAAGAATTGAGCCGATAAACTATTTCATTATACTTATCCATAGAGAATTTCTTGCAGTTTTTAAGTTTGAGCACCTTTTTCTTCCAACACCATCCATTATTTATAGTTCCTTGGCTCCACTGACCACTGGATCCCTTAGATCCCTTCGCTCAAAAGTTGAAGATAGAATTACAGATGAATTATTAGCTTCCGCATTTCATTTTAAATGACAGGCTTACTCCCTTAAAGGAAGACCGCGATATGTGTTGATCTTTGTCGAAGCAAACAAACCCCACAAGATCTTGCTCCTCCCTTTAAATTTGAACTTAAATTTATTCTTCATATGACACACGTTCGCACCATTGCTGGTTAGGCTACCTACACTGGTTATATGGTTAGGTGATTCTAAGCCGTTCGAAACACCTAAAAGTAGAAGAAGCTACTCCTTTATTCATCACCTAAGCCTTTATATATCATCCACATATTCAAATTCTTTGTCCAGTTGATTGGTCCTCCTCGCTTATTGGCGTTCACAAGACAAGATATGTACTGATTCCAGTAGGCATTTAACAACATTGCGAGGTGATGCTCAGTAGATGCCAATGTTATTAATGAAGGTGATATTCGAGCGAAGATAGATGCAATCATGCGAGATTCTATACGGCTACCATGTAAAAATATATCTTAGACATGAATGATCAAGGATAAATGCTTCATGATATTTTCCAGTCTCATTAGCTAGATATATTACTAAAATATATATTAAAACTGTGCGCTCTGTATCCAAATGGATGTAAACTTTTATTTTGATGATAAGGCAATTCCATGGAGATTTCGCCAGGCTACAGTTTTTTCTTTCGGTTGGCGATTTAATTCAATAGTAGGCCTGAGATATCCAATATTTGATTTAAAATAGATTTAAATGAAAAATAATGTTTCGATAATTTTAAACAATAAAAAACAAATTTAATTAATAAAAGTAGGTATATGGTTAAGTAAAAGCTACTTTTGGGGCCTTAAAAATGGAAAATAGATTCGAAATAAAAGTCTGCCTTATCAAAAATTAAGGATCAGCCAATTAAGAGTTAATAAAGAATTGATAAGTTTTCATCAACCCAGAAGGTGCGTCGAAATTTAATGGTATGCCAGGTGAAGGAGATAAAAGTCCCGCGGGAAGCAAGGATGGAAGCAGGCAGACCCCAAAAGTATTGCATTCCTATTTGGCGACAAGGTAAATAACTGATTAAATAGTGAAAATATAAGTAATATTAAGCATGATTAGACGCGATTTCAGTTGCGACAGATCATTTTACAATAGTCGAACAAGACAAATCCGATTTGATGATAAAATCATTTATTTCTTCAATTATGCGAAAGGTTAATTGCCACGAATTTCCTATGTTTTATGCAAAGAAAAGAAAATTATGACAGTTAAAAATTATTTTCAACCAAATGTGGGTAAATAAATTTGTTCCGAAGAAAAAATGAAGTAAAACCTATTCTTTACCTATTTAATGAAAATAATGAAATATACTTATTTCAGATAATTGTTATGGTGAGGAAGTTATCACATGGAGAGAACTTAAAGATCTCGTAAGTTTTTTTCTTTCTTTCTTAATGATAAGGACATTTTGTCATTTGATAAGGATCTTTTCTTCATTTTCATTTTTTTTCTATATAACCTATAGAAAAATAAAATATAATAAAAAAAATAATAATAAATATTTTCTAAAATGTGCTAAAACAAGAAGGTAAATGCTTTAACAATTATAATATGGAATAGAAATGAGAGTCGAATGCTTTTTGCACAGATTATTATCTCGAACGTTGTTTCCCCGCAAGAATAAATCCTTGATAAATGTACGAGCCTACTTCTCTAGTGATATTTTGATATTTTATTAACAAACTAATTATTTCTTTCGTAAATATTATAAATTCTTTTCTAATATTTACAAAAATAATCAAAACTACATGATTTAATTCTTTGGAAATTATTTCAACATAAATTACTTAATTACTTGATCACTTAATTTAAATTTATATTTTATCTAAATTTTTTAAAAGAATTATTAGAGAACAGTTGTTATTAATTATGGTGTTTCTATCCTATTTCGTTCTTTTTTGAATGAATAAATAATTTCAAGAATTTTGTCAAAAATTTTTTTTTGCAATTCAATTTTCGACTTAAACCGTTAGTGATGCCCAATTTATGGTCATATGAATATTCGTACTTAAACTATTATCAATATTATTATGAAATATATTAAGCCATTTAACTGCAGAAAGACAAAAAGCAATGGAGCGTTATCAAGCATCCAATGGTTTTAAATTTTATCAATGAAAAGCTTTTGGGACGTGCAGTTTTCTATATTTTGCATATAATTGCATATCTGGCATTTTTGCTATTGTTATCAAGCTATATTTTTGACAAAAATGCTCTTCAAGATGCTTTAGCGACCGTCTTTCTAATTATTTTTGGATTTTGCTTGGTAAAGCATATTAAATTAAATATTGTAAAATAATAATAAGTCTTATTTTCTATGAGAGAGAAAGCAAAAAAGTAGTTGAAGCTGTTTAAGGCCAATCCTAAACCAGCTCACCAGTTTGAATAACAGTAGACCCAATCCATTTTACAGGTTGCATGTGATTATTTCGAATAAATTAAATTATTAATGAACCTATCTTTATTAATATGACAGTTGTATATTAACGTTTTAACTTTTTAAGTGAAATTTCAGACTTCTCATTTTAGATTGTCAAAGGAGCAACAAAGTTACAAGCCGGTAAAGTTAGCAGCTGGTTTGTTGTTTCATATCTCTTCAATATTATTACGTATATCGCAACCTTTTTGTTCATATGGACGCCGCAATTATTCGCTTATAATGATTATGAATCTGATCTTAAAGTAAAAATCTTAGCACAATATTATTTTTTCACTGCAGATAATATCTAAGAAAAAGCTAAAATTTCCCGAAAACTGCTTAGAAAAAAAAGAAATCGGAAGAAATATTCTATAAATCTTTTTTTCTGAATTCCGAAAATAGAAATATTTAAAAACATTTAAAAACATCGCGTATGAAGTGTTTTGATAAAATAATTATTCACACCTTTCAGCATTTCATTACTTGGTTCCTTCCAATAATCGCCATAATTTCTGCTTGGATCAATTTCTTGTATATATTACGAAAATCGCCATATGGCATATATATTTTAATGATGACCAGAATATTCTATTCTTTTTCACAGGTTTGTCATTTTCATTCATTGAACAGAAGGATGAGGGGCCCGTGGAAAAGGTTTAAGCCCATAACTAACGCAGCTACTCTTGCTTTTAAGTGTTGAGATTGCATACTAGGCTTAGTAAGGTTTATTATTTAAATATTTCATACAATGGTGTATAAACGTATTTCGGTAAAAAGGAGAAGTCTTTACTTTAACAATATTGAAAAAAATATCGAAAAAAAGAATTTTGGTAAATCTTTTTGGTAAATTTTGGTAAATTAATCATTTAATGAGACTGATTTTGTTCTGATTTTATACTTAGTGATTTGAACATACAGTTATTAAATTTCTAGATTGCAATTATTTGGATTCCCACTTTGTTGGCATTTGCCTTTGCCTTTCACTTGGTTATGCGAAATAGTGGTACGGAACCTTGGGAAGCATCTGATGTGGTACATTTCTTTAGTTTACTTTGCTTCAAATTAATTTCTTGAATTTCAATAATTCTTTACCAGTTAATAAAAGTTTAGAAAGCCGTAGCAGTTGAAAGAAAATTACTAGAAACTATCGACTGGTTGCTAATTAAAATCACATTAATTGCGAATAACAATACTAATTCTATAGATTGTTGAATGATCCCATTAAATTAATCATAAAGCCTCCGGAATTAGATAAAAATGAAAATATTTGAACTCGTATTCTAATACGAGACTGAGACTTAAAAAGCCATCATATCTAATAATTTTGTGTAAATACATGGAAGAAACGCGAAAAACAGAAATATCAATCCGGAATAAACTGAAAATAGAACGAATAAAAAATAATACTCATTGTTTCTTTTTCGGTAAACAAAATGCAGAATGTCTTTATGAAATTTTTTTGTGTAGAAATTTTTATAATTAAAAGCAACTGATTTTTGGCATTTTTTTCTTTTTTTTTCAATGAAGCACTTATATTTTATATTACATTTTACAATTCAGTTTACTCCCAATTCCACGGTGACCCGAAAACTTTTGGCAATTCTTCAAGCAATTACGAAAACGTCAGCAATGATGATAGGTGATTTAATTGTTATTTTTATAGGGTTCGTATTACTCCTTTCACGCAATTTTATGTTCTTAGCGGAACAAAAGGTTATTTTTTCAAATTTCAGGAGAAGTAGACGCCGATAATGTACTTGAACGAAAGGAATGGATACCAAATATCCTTCTATTAGCTTTCGAAATTACTACCGTTATTTTGTTAATGAATTTAATGGTTAGTGGTTTTTGGTTGTTGCATATCAAATTAGCACAATCTTATGCACACTATGGCTTATGGCTTAAAGGTTGAACGATTTGACAGAATCCACATTATTTCCAGATATCATTGGCAGTGGGCGACGTAAATGAACTTCGCCATTCAGCTCAAGAAAAATTACTTCAAATAAAGGTTTTTTTTTACAAATCACCACTTATTTTCTTAAACTACGTATGATTAAATTTTTCACACCCTTCTTAAGTTGAAAAGAATGAATGAATGAAATTTAAATTCAAATTTTTTCTGGGTTTTACTAGGATTACAAGCTTTTACATACTAGCTTTGATCCTTTTTTTTGAGAAAAGCTTTAAGGAATTCATTCATTTTTCATTGTTTCATTGGTCAGATACGTAGAGTAAGAAAAATTTACAGATTTTCATCAAAAATTTTCATTAAAAATTTATTTATTATTTATTTATTTATTCAAAATTTAGGTGAATTTTACAATTGAAGCCTTGCAACTATCGGAAACTTGCGACTGTTTAAAAAAATTAAAACTTCTTCATCGAATCTCAACGAACAATATTCTTGTGCTAGCTAATGATGGTCAAGTATATAGCATGATGAAGAAAGTGGATTTTTGCGAAAAGAGTAAGTGGACTTTTGCAAGAGCCACTGGATGCCCATAACTTGGAAATTTATGATAGCAAAATAGATTCTTTGACAAAATCTTTTGAAATTCAATAAGATCACTATACGAATAAGCCATGAAATATAAATGATGTGTGGCTGTATTTCCAAATGACTTTTTAGCGGAAAGGTTCTTGAAGAGATTGTGGTGAGGTCAACCAAAGTAGAATGATGAATGCCTTTCGAAGAAAAGTCACAACTTTGAAGCTATTTTTGATTAAACAAATTTCGAAACCAAAATCATTGTTTTTTATTCTTAAATTATTTTATTCTAAAAACTTTTTAAAATGGAAAAAAGTGGAGAACGATTTTTTTTTGCAAAAATGCAATATTTAGAATATTTAGAAATAATTCAAGTCGAAGTGGAAAATGAAAATGCAGGCAAAGAAATTTATCGTCATAAATTGGATAGCAATTCATGGAGGTTGGGTTTTATCAAATTTTTCATTTTTCATAAATCATTTTGCATTAACTTATAAAAGCGATAAAACATTTTAACGTATGTTTTGCGAGCGATATCATATTGTTCGAATGCTTGAATTCAAATCTTTTGATTAGCGAAGTTCAGATCGTCTCAACAAAAATCTTCGCAACAATATCGGCGAGAGCAAATTCACTTAGCGAATTTAGCGGATGAAGACGATCGACCTTTTATTAATGGTATATCCGACACGAATAATAAAAAATCCAAGGTAGTGGATTTTTATGAAATATAGATTATTTTTGTGCTCTAATAAGAACTTTATTATTAATTTTATATTAATTTTATATATTAAATCAATTTTAATCTAATTTTCTTGTTTTCTTTTTTAAAGCTATTTTATTTCCATCGAATTCAAATTTTTTTACAAATCGTGAACATAACTATCTAAATTGAATTGAAATTGAGCTGAAATTTTGAGCTCACAAATTTTTTAATAATTCCCACATATTAAAATAAAAAACTTTGTTGCTGATTGCAGGTATATTACCTACATTTCCCATCAAATGAGCGTCGTATGCGGCTACAAAAACGCAATCTCGCTGGACATAAAGTTCACGTACATCTCGATGGTGCAACTATTGAACTTATTGAGAGTATGGAATCAGGCATTGAAGAATTCAGTGGGACTGTAGATGGATTAAAAATAACTGATGTTGATGATGATTCAGAATCAAACGCAAGAAAATTGGCAAGATGGTTAATAGGACTCGATTGGAGCAGCTTGTTGGATTTATAATAATAAATTCTATGTTTATTTCTGATTTAATTGACAATTAATGAAGGACGCAGGAAATTTAGGAAATTCTTAGAGAATTTTCGCATTGCATTCACTGCTTTTTGCTTTTCTTTATTAATTTTCTGGTGTTTTTTCTTATTATAATCTAGATTAACCGACTTCAGTGGAACTAATAGGCCATTAAAATAGAAAGGTAATGGAGGAGAATTGAGATATTACAGGTAACATAAGGAGAAAATATTTGTATATGAAGCCTTATATAAGGACTTGGTATTATGCCTTTATTCAACTTATTTTCGCCTTATAAACATCGATTTACCAATCTTGGCAATTCTCTCTCCATCTCCATATTTAATTTCCTTCTCCAACTCTTCTGTAATTATTTAAAGCAGTCAGCTGTTTTCTTTCGGTGTCCATTCTTATAATTTGTATTTTATTGTTTAATAATTTAGTTAGCAGATTATTGTAATTTCCTGGTTTTTTAAGATCTTATTAAATGAAAATTTTTTGGTTTTTACTTGATTTCTCACATTTTCCTTCCACTGTTTTTTGTTCCAATAATGTCCTTCCCTTATTTTCCTTATTTTCCCTTACTTTTTATTCTCCTTATTTTTTTGGTCTACCATTTTCTATTAAAATAAAATAAATTAATGAATTTTTTTTATGAATATAGTCCACACTTTTTTGCTGAAAAAACTGGATGGCAATTCGTCTTTAAAATCAGCAATACATATTACCGAGTCTATAATTCTACAAGAAAAATGCATTTTAAGATTGTTGACGGATTCTATAGAAATCCATCATTTTCCGACTATTTTATTCTCGGTACTAAAATTTCAAATGACTGCTGAACAATTCTTGAAGCAGAATTTAAGGATGGTTTGATTATTGGTAAATAAACTGCTGTATAATCAGAAGCTCACTATGTTGTCGTATATTGTGGTATAAAAAAAATATGCAAAAAAATATTCTGTGATAAGTTTCATCAGATTATTATTGGCTTATCCTAAATTTTCTTGCCATTTTTTGCCTTTTTATTTTGAAAGACTATAAAGTTTATTGAAAATCGACATTTTTATTCAAAAACACCATTGCAATCACCACACTTCCTATAAGCGCATTTATTTCATAAAATGGCAAGTTTCTAGACCGAATTTCTGGAATCAGTGAATTGCTGGAAAGTAGTTTCAAAATGTGAGGTTTTTTCGAACTTTTCACTATTTCTACTTTATTGGAGAAGTTGTCAAGGAAAAAAATAAAATTCTGTTGATGAAACACCTAGGAAATATAGTGGATGAGAAAGGACTTTGGACGAATTTTAACAATTCGATTCTTGTGATCTGCAAAGCTGTGTGTAAAACGACATAACCTTTTTTTATTGACCAATGTTAATCATGTTGTTAATTTCAGTTCTTTACTGTACAACTCCTCTGTAATCATTGTACTAGAAGCTGTAGTAGACCCGTCAAGACCATCAAACAATAAGCATAATCTTCTTGAAATGAAGATCGGATTTTGGAATGAATCGAGTTCATCCTTACTTCAATAACTTCATACAATAGCTCCCTTGTAATAGAAACTTTTCTTCATCAAAATTAAAATTTCGTTCAAGAATAGTGGTAATAGTGGTAATATTTTTGTGTGCTATTAGCAGCTAATAATATATCTCCAAATGTTTTTTCATTTTTCCTCGTTTCACGCAGGAGATTCCATATGCTATTAGGTGAAACTCCAAACTCATGCTAAAATTAGAATCAGCCTTCACCAATTACGAACGCCTCCCAAGTTTTATAGATGGTCAAATTTAAAGCGTCAGCTTAAAATTTAAATGAACTGAATATAAGCCAATATTCGCTTAAATTTTTATTTCCAAAGAATTTTTCATTAATTTAAATTTTTTCTCAAAGATTTTTATTTTAAAATATGTAATCAGGAAAAAACTTTTATAAATATTTATATTCAAGCAATCGAGACATCGTTAACCATGAACGAAAACAAGCGAATATAAAAATGATTTTACGCCACATCAGAACCTGAAGAATTGTATGAATTTTTTCATTGCAAGGTCGCAGCAATTTTTCCCAAAATTTATAAAAATAAGTGGTAGAAAAATTAGTTAGCGCTCACCCTTTCTGGTTAGGCTAAATCTGCTAGCTGTTAGTGAAGTTAGAAATTTTTGTCAGGAAATCATTTGGCGATAGAAATGCAGATGGATCGCTATCACCTGGTTTTTTGAATTTATTTATGGAGAATTAATAATAATTAATTAACAGTAATTTATTTACTTATGAATAATGGATGTATGAGAGTAATTTATGAAAATAATTTTCGTTTTCAATTACTGGTATCCTTCTACATATCCTTCAATTTTATGTTTTATGCACTGAAATGAATTTTGATCAGCGATCTAAGTTGCAAGTAAAGAATTTTTTTTATGAATATAGTCCACACTTTTTTGCTGAAAAAACTGGATGGCAATTCGTCTTTAAAATCAGCAATATATATTACCGAGTCTATAAAATTCTACAAGAAAAATGCATTTTAAGATTGTTGGCGGATTCCATAGAAATCCATCACTTTCCGACTATTTTATTCTCGGTACTAAAATTTCAAATGACTGCTGAATAATTCCTGAAGCGGAATTTAAGGATGGTTTGATTAAGAATTGGTAAATAAACTGCTATATAAGCCTAGGATTTTAGCAAATAAATGGAATCAATCCAAATCCAAATAAAATTGAAAAAAACGGAATGAAAAGAAAAATAAAAGAAAACGAAATTGGCGCATAAAAATTGGAAAATGACGAGCGAGAAAATTTCTATGAAAACTACCAAAAATATTTGCAGATAAGAATGTTAACTGAAGCTTCGAATTAATGAAACAAATCCAATGAACAGGTCTGTTGCGTTTAAATATTTAAAATTGCTCGAATTTGTCAAAAATAAGCCAATTTTCCAATTTAAGTAAAAGGCCATAATAATACGTTCAAGGATCTTCACAATTTTAATATGAACCAAGGCTGTGCTACATTTCTATCCCGCAGTAGGAATTACATTCGATCATTGTTAATTCAGTTTTACATTCGTTAATAGGCGTTCGGCTACTGGAAGTTTTTAAAATTTTTTTTGATTCAACACGATCATGTGGAAATCTGACATTCAAATACTGTACTTCTGTATAGAAAACACGTATAACACATTTTTTCCCCAGAACGTTTTGCAGAAGAACGATACATATCCTATATTATCTATATTAAAATGCGGCATCCGAAGAGAACACTTTCCACAGTGTTCTAATTGAGTAATTCCATAAAAACCACCGTAAATAAGGAACTTAGTGATAAAAAGTACAAAGAAGAGTTCGAGCCTTAGAAAGCTGAATTTCGGTTTAGGATTGCATATTACATTTTAATCGAACAATGGCTTCATTTCTGCAGATAAACATACAAATAATTGAAATATTTTTATAACGATGCCAATCTATCCCGCAGTAGGAATTACATTCGATCATTGTTAAGCCGCAGATTTGTATCGCCTTCCTTAAGCCTTGCCATCGATGTTGGGGCTGGGAAAGAGGGCTAAGTGGAGAAGAGTGGAAGGAAGAGATTTATTCCTGAAGGTCGACCGAAGGGATTTAGTCTTAACGTTTTATTAATATTAATATAATGGCTATTATTATTATAAGAATCTTGTAACATTTAGTTGTTGAATAATTTAATAGTCGGGAGCACCGGACTATTAAAACTTATCACTTTTGCCATCATTGTTAGAATCCATTCGAAATTGTTGGTACTCACTCCTCTGTAATCTTTGTACTTCTTTCTTAATCATTCTTAGTAATCATTCTCTCAAATTATATTACGGCTTAATTGACCAACTCTGAGGTTATGATAATTGTGATAAATATGATAAATGAAATGTTATTAAATATTTTATTGTTCATTGTGAGCGATTATAGCAACAGCAGAACAAAGGGAGATTGTGGACAATTTAAAGAAAACCATTTAAGATTTTCGCCCTTTTTTATACATACAGTGTGAAAGCATTTGTTGAAGATTAAACTGGAAGACCCACTTAAATTCTCGTGGATGAGTAGTATAATTCTTAAGAGAAAGTATAATTCATTCATATAATGAAATGGTTTATTTTAACAAAGAAAAAAATGAATCAGTAACGCACAACCGTATGAAGATTTTGTACACAGTTAGTTCAAAATTCAGTACCCAGAAAAATACAAATCTCAGTCAAATTTCAAAATACATTTAGATAAGAACCAATCAAAAAAGGAAAAATTACTAAAATTTATTCTTTCTTGAAATTAAATTCCTACCATATAGTTTTTACTAAAGAAATAATAAAAAATGACAATTTTTTAATGGTTTTTTTAAGATCATTTTAAAAAAATTTAATACTTAATACTTAAAAAACAGAAACATATCTAACATATTAAAAATGGACTTATGATGGATCTCACAAGCTAACCAGCCTTCTTGCAAAGCACTGTAATATACAAGAAATTTCTATTTCAAGGCGATAATCTGCTTTTCAAGCGATATATAAAGAAACAGTGCATTATTTTTTTTAAAAAAAACATTCTAAAAAAAACATTTTTTTAAAAAAAAAAACATAAATAATAAGTAACCAATAACAAATATGTAATATTTCACGTTGTTATAAAATGCAAGCATAAAACGAGATGCTGTTAATAGCCAAAAAAAAGAAAAATATGGAAAAATTACTATAAGTGAACGATAATAGGCATTCTTAAAATAATAGCAATTAGAGCAAATAATATCAGACCTGAACGACTAGAATTGGCGCCACTTAATGATTGGAGTGATACAATATCTGTTATCCTTTCAGTTTCCACAGATGGCCAACAATCGGGACAAGATTCTTGCAATGAACGCATTTGCTTTGCATTATATGTAATCTTGACCTATAAATACGATTTTAAATACAACAGATCAATGATGTGAGGATAAAAAGAAAGAATTCCATTATTGTATAGGTATAGGTTTTTGTGACAATTTAAAGGAAAATGAAATAGAAAATATAGAAAAATATGGAAAAATAAAATAAAATTGAAAGATGGAAACAATACAGTGAATAGAAAAATAAGCCTTGGCATACCATTCAAGCAAGGCTTTGTCAACCGAAGTTTGCAATACCTGTTGTTCCGGATCATAATAATCGAAAAGAGCCATTTGAGCGGGCTTAAGATCGGCCACCTGATATACCATATCGCTGTAAAGTGATAAGCACACAGGAGTTGATCCAAGCTAAAAAAGATCATTGCTATCATTATAATCGAAGTTTTGAATGACAATTAGCATTAGAAAATTTCGTGACTAACCGGATTAAAATAAAGATTCATTTTTGTATCGTCGTTATCGAGTTCAGAGCGCTGAAGATTGGCAATATCTGTTAAACGACTCGCCTCATCAGCATCAAAGCGATATCCCGTTAATGCAGTAATTTCTGCAACGGCCATATTTGATCGCGAACCAAGTCGAGTATAGCTAAGAAATAAATATTAACAGTTATCAAGGGCAAGATGTGAAAGGAAGAATATCTTTAATATAGCAAATGTTACTTGCAACACAAATCGAGTTGAAGCCTATATCCTCCGTAAAGTTCTCGAATATCTTTCGTACAGTAAAAAGGTAGATCATCCTTAAGAGCGACACGATAATATGAATACTGGATTTGAGCAAAAATAATGCCATTCCCATTCGCATGCAATTTTACCTCATCGTCCAGGTTAACTAGCTAGAATTACTGGAAATTAAAGAATAGGAGATCAAAAAGTTTTTTTTTTTTTCTCAAGCTATCAAATGAAACAGTGATAGGGAAATGACGTATTTAAATACGTATTCTTCAGCGGTTCAAGAAAAGAAAATACTGCTTTTCTCCTCGAAGATACCATTATCTAATTTCACACTGATTTCTAATTTAGCTGGCTCCATTGAGTGTTGAGTATTAGGAGTGAGATCTATTTATCGAGTCACATGGGGAGCTGGGAAAGGGGAGCATTATTGTGATTTCAGCCTTTAATAACTGTTTATTCTCAACGAGAAATCGAAACCATAGCACCTGAACTTAGACGAAACAACAAAAAACTGAACCATTCTGATCACAAAGATTCCTTTTGTTAGAACAATTTCAAACTTATCATCTCTTTGCTATCTCATTGCTCTTTCATAGAATCATTTAAATGAGCCAAGTAGTAGTATTAAATGCAAATTAAATTCTCTACATCATATGATTGTAAGACAATTGCATTTTCTGGCTTCACTTCAAATTGATGCTTATCGGCACCGTTATTTAATATGACTGAAAAATTTAAAACTGGTGAATAAGCTCGTTCTGCGTAGGTTCCAAGCGCTTGCAACGCCATAACTGTATCCTGAAAATTTGATTTTGCTGCATTTAAATATTATCTCCCCTTTCGAACAGCCAAAAACTTGGATAATAATATAAGTTATTTTAAATAAAAAACTAAATAAATAAAAGAATAAATAAAAACTTACTTGGGTACTACTAAATCCACCAAAAGAATTTCGTTGTGAAGTCAACCACTTGACAATTGGTACACTATTATCAATATCATTAGTAAGCATATAAGTAAGCAAGGCATAAGCCGTCATTTCGACATCGACTGGATTTGGCAAATAGAAATACTGTTGAGTATCCTTCTTTTTATTAGAAGTACTTATTTTAGCACTCCAATGAACAGAACCATCTGAAAAAAACTGAGGAATAAGTTACGAATAGCGAAAATTCATGAGATTATTAATATGAATATTTAGTCTGGAAAATTTTTAGATTTAATTTGTTAATCTGTAGATACTAATAAATAAGAAATCAAATAGAATGTGGTATAAAGCAGTTGACCTGTGTCGTTAATTTTATGTGCTTCCAGCATTTTCAGCGACACAGCTTTCTTAGTGCTATCAGTTAAATGAAGTGCATAGGACACTATTGCTAGCGCATATGGATCATCTTTGATCTCTTCAAGATGTTGCTCGAGATAATATAAAGCTTTTGCATTTTTCACCTGAAATTCTAACAATAAGTAGTTTTTTTATTTATTTTATTAGAAAGTAATAATATATTCAAGAAAGTATTTTCAGTGTTGTTGATGCTGAAATTGGTCCTTTATTAACCGATCGTTGCAGAAAAAATTGGATAAAAGCTAAATCTAAAGTATCCTATTTTATAGGAAAATACTAAACATGATGTGTAGCGTAGCTTATTAATATAATTTTGAATTGCTAACTCCATTTTCGAGAAGAGATATTAGAACATAAGCAGTAAGAGGTATTCCTCCTTCAGCTGCACCACCCTGCAAACTTTTGTGGTGAACTTCTCCGCGTTCGGCAAAGGCACCATTCTCCTAAATTTTTAGAAATTTGAAGATATACTGTATTTAATATACTCGATGTTGAGATCAAATCTTATCCGATATCAAAATGATTTCCGTGCATACCCGGTTCCAAAAATTATTTTTCTTGATATATTTTAGCCAAATTCGTTACTTAAATTTGAAAATGTGGTATTTAATTCCAGAATCTCAAATCCCTGTTAAAGAATATAGTTATTACTAGTTATAAGAAAAAAGTAAGACAAATCACTTGTTGTTGTTGAGCGTTCAAGAATGCTATGGATTTCTGTAAAATATGGTCATCCACAAAAATGAATGGTTGAGCTTGCTTGAAAGATCGAATAACGAAAGCAGTCAACCAGGTTGATCCGTGCTTATCGTTTTGACCAAAAGCAGAGAACGAATGATCATCTCGCCTAAAATATTGTACGGCTTTAGTAAATAATCTATACTGGAAAAATAGACCTTCATCCAACCCTCATCTCCCTTAATATCTTTGAAAATATTTCAAAAGAAAAAAAATTTTTTGTTTCAATTGTTTAAGCTGATAAAACTTGAAATATAGACAAGCCATGAAAATCAAAGATATTCATTAAAACCTGTAGGTTAGTTCTCTTTGATAACCGGTTTCCATGAATTTTACAGCTTTAGCCTCAATTTGAACATTTGACTGAATCGCTCTTAAGTAACGAAGTACTACGATGTTCGGCACAAAATTAATCATATTTTGCTCTCCACAACCAAAAGGCATTTTAACCAACGAATCTATATTGGATAAAACTGGTCCCATTATATCTCCTGAAAATAAATTAATTTTTTTGGGAAGCCAGTTACCCCTTTTTTGAAAGCCAATTAGGAGCTCCAAATTCTATGGTTTTATGAAATACCAATGATATCAAGACGAGCTCTCCTTGATCCTTCAACGGCATCCTTCGGGAATTGTAAATCAATGGTCTTCTCGAATTCAGCACTAGAGTTTATGCTTTTTTTTGAAAAATCAATTATTATTGGAACATTTCGATCAACTCGATAGCCTTCAGGCTGAAAAAAAAGTTTTCTTTTCCTTAGAAATTTCATAGATAAAAGAATAAGAAATAAGAAAAATGTGGAAATCGAAAATTACCTCAACTTTAAGAATCTGCTCAACTGCATCACCAGCTTTTGCTGACTGAGCGACAATAGACAAAAAGATTTCGCCTATTCGAGTAGGAACAATTGGAAAATATACTGCTTTTGAAATTCCTCCACTTGGCACAGATATCATCCGCATATTGTAATTCTTATCTTTTGTATCTTTGCTGAAATATTTCACTTTATACGCATTGATAGAGAATTACAATGTGGCAAGAAATTTGCTAAATAACTAGCTTCATCGGTTTCTTTGTTGTACCATCCTTCTGAAGGAAATCGAATCCAGAATTTTCATCGTGTTTTAGGATGACTGTAACCTGAAATTCAAACGTGAAACCAAAAATAAACTGTTCCGATTGATTAACTTTATAAACTGCTCAAAATACTTCCTTTTTTATGTAAAATATTTATCTTCACGATTAAATGCAATAAATTATTTAAATAAAGAGCAAACGAAAAAAGGGTAAATAAACTGCTAGTAAATAGAGTTATTTTAAATTACTACAATTAAAATCAATTACATCCTGCTCAGCATCCATATAATTGAAAACCAAAATCTGCAAAGCAAATTTTTCGCCACGTTTCACCGAGTACGGCAGATTTAAACGAATAAAAAACGGTCGAAAAACAGTCAACTGAAAAACAAAAAGTGGAATAAAAAACTTATCAAAATATTCTCTTCGGTCAAAATATCAATATTTTAGAGCAAAAATACTAATTCAAACAGAGAATTTAAAAAATTGATAAACTTTTTGAATTTGAAGTCAACCGTAATTGCCATTTTTTTATTTTTTGCGAATAACGTAACCCTATATAATTTTTGAATTTAGGTAATAAAAGATTTTTGGAAAATTATATCATAAAAAAGGCAAAATTTTTGAGAAATTTCATCATAATTAGCACAATAAATAATGCGAAAATGATGACCTTCGATGTTGAAGGCGCCACTCCAAGGCCTGATTGATCACTGATAGCAAAGGCACTCGCCACCCATGAAGTTATTGTATCAGGAACAATTGCTTCATAGCTCGCTGTGCCACTTTCGCTTAAATTAAGCAATATAGTTAAGTAATGAATAGGTAAATGGCAAATATAAAAGTAAAGAGAAAAGAAATATAAAAGAAATCTTTTTTGGGGGTGGAATGGCTCAGTGGGTTATTGTCTCTGGCATATTGCCCAAGGCAACAAGCCAGTGGAGCGAGTTTAACCAGTAATAGTGAGGACTCTTTAAAAAAAAAGAAATGATGAAAAGAAATGAACACCAGATATACTTATTCAATTAATCAAAGAAAAGAAATCGAAGCCACAAAGCTCAGGTCGAAGCAACACATCAGTATTCTGCGCCCAATTACTAATCAAAAATGCCGCCTGTGTTCCCGATTAATTTTATATTATATTAATTGTAATTCTACGTTTCATTTTTTAACAAATTGCATTATCAAGCCAAATTATTTGAATTATTGATTCTAGGTTAAGGACGGTAGATTCCAAAGCAAAAATTAAAAATATTGAAAAAAATTGGAAAAAAAATTGACCGAATCGTGAATTTAGATATTTTTTTAAGATTCAAAACTTTGGAACTAAAAAGATATGAAAAGATATAAAATTTTGTAACTCATATGAATATTGAATATTCTTCTTCTTCTTCTAATAGCTCTCAACATTACTGATTAGGCTGGCTCCAAAGGCTACAAGAGTAAGACGCTTCCAAACGACGCCTGATGCCATTCCTTTTTCCATCATCTAAGCCCATATATAGCTGGTCCACTTATGCGTTCAAAACCTTTATCAGTCCAGGGTCTTGACTGGCCCAACTCGCTTTTGACGCTATTTTATCCGCTCGATGGACCCGTAATATGATACCTTAGATAAGAGTGGTCAAATGCAGATAACTTCTTAATATCTTCCACTCTCATTGGCTATGTCTAAGAGCCATATAGCAAGAACTAATCACGGCTTTATAGATGCGGACTTTCGTTTTAATGGTAATTTCACGACGGCTCCATAAAGCTTCGTCAACCGGAAGAATGCATTTCTAGCTGCCGTCATCTGGGTTTCTGTTTGCCTGGCCATTTGGTATTCGCGTGGACCCAAGATATTTGAAATCGGACACTTCCTCGACCAGCAATGAATTTTTTAAAAGGGGAGATATTTTATTAGCTTCTTGAAACGTAAGACAAAAAGTCTTTCGTTTTATTTACATTGATCCTAAGTCCAATTCTCTGCAATTGCTGACACGTTATTTAGCATTATTTGCATTTCATCATAACCTATCAGCAAAAAGGACTACATCATCAGCGTATAAGGTCTATGATACGATTCGGTACTCCTTGAGTGCCGAAAAGCAGTCTATTGCATAGTTGAATATTGTAGGGGAAAAGACACAACCTTGATGGACACCAGTTCTTATTTCGAAGGAGTCTGTCGGCTCACCATATACACAGAACTACGCCAACATGCGCTCATAAAATGGCTTCATTGAATATTGAATATTTAATGAATATTGAATATCTGCACTCAACTAATAAAATTTTAAGCCAACATGGAAGATAACTGAATCACATGTTCTCCCTATTATAATAGAAATTTATAATTCAATTCAGCGTCGATTCAAAAATAAAGGGAAAATTACGTGAATAAAATTCTGTGAAAAATCTACTTAGGAAAGGGACAAAAACGACCTTGCAAAACACAAATTGGTATTATAAATCGACACAAAAAAGGTACATAGCACTACGAAATTTTAGTTGGGAGTACGGCGATTCCCCTTCCTTTATGAAAATTCCTTTTGGGAATCCGCTTCACTATATTTTTTCTGTATAGATTTAACTTTCCTGCCACGCGGGACTTTTTTTTTTATCAATATTATAAAACTCTGCGGCCAGCTTTCTTACTTTTCTCGTTGCGAACCTCAAACTTGGGTAATTAAACCTTTATTAGCAAAGATAAAGATGCAAATATATATAAGAAAACAAAGCGAAGCAATTGCCCTATTACAAAGAAATATTATAGTAAAATAAATCAAATATAAGATCTAAATGCCCATCGCTCACCGACCTCTCTCCCACTCGTTTACCCTAATAGAAGCACAAAATGCCCAAAAATGATCTTTTAGGAGCTTATATTTAATTTAAGATGGGTGGGAATCCGGATGACTTGCTCAAGTTTATAGCCTTTTTCGCCATTTGGCAACAGCCATATCAAAATATATTTCAATTCATATATTGCTTAAAGTCCAAAATAAAAAAAGTACCAGTATTTCTTCATTCCTCCTTTTAGCAGCATTTCTGGTTTATTTGGCTCTAGTGACCATCATGATGGAACGCTTTCGCTAGGAATTTATTTTGGGATGGAAGTAGGAATGGGTTTCATTAAGATGAAACTTGGAACAAATGTACGAGTAGGTTTAGTACCGGATTAAAAAAGAAAAAGTTAAAGTAACATTCATTTTTTCTTACTTATTTGCAAAAAATTATCCAGAAGTTTAAAAAGTAATATTTATTATTTACTCTTAATTAAATTAGATTATAGATTGACAGAACCAGATTAAAGTGCCTGGATGCTGAAATGCTTTCTCATTTATATATTATATATTTCTCATTTATATATTTCTCATTTTCATTCTCTACATTTATATATTTCTCATTTTCCTTGGAAAGTGAAGGCTAAAGTAATCCCAATGACAAGAGCACTAAGGACTATAATCCCTAAATCAGAAGAATAGCTTCAACAGATTCCAGAAATATAAGAAATCTTTATCCAGAAGAGCGGACTGCTAGCGGCTGAAATACTGTGCAGAATCCCTCAAGCTTGCAGGCCTCTAAAGATCCAAGATCCAAAATGACCTTACACCCATAGGGACGATGAGAAAGGGATTTTTTTAACCGTGCAGATAATTGAATATAATTGCAATTTGCGTAATGCAAAAATATAAATAATCAAGCGCTTCATTACAATTTCAGCTTTTTCTTTGTTATTTTTTGTTGGTTTGCTACTAATTATTGTTCCAGACGATCTGACTTGTCTTATATTTTAACAAGTTGCAAGCCACACACGAAAAAAAAAAGAAAAAAATGCTAATCAAAAGAATTTTTAAAATGATTTTATAGTTGGAAGTTCAGTTTCAGTGGAAATAATAAAGCTAAATATTTCTTTACGATAAGATTATGCCAAACCCATATCTCATCTTCGAATCTTTGATTGGATAAATTCATAAATAGGTTGATCTGCTAGTGAAGATAAATTCTCTGGTAAATTCTCTGCTCAAAATTCTCAAAAACCTGACAGTTTTAATATCAAATATTTTTATATTTTTCCAAAAGATATAAACTCGCAAGTGAAGATAATGTGATTTTTACTTCAACCAAGGATGGGTATATTTTAAATTATTGTAATTTAAAAATTTCAGAAAATTTTCGAAAAAGAGTCAATTCGTGCAATTTGGAAGAGAATTTTACCAAAAAGAGCCATTTGTGCAGATTAATTTTCCGGAAGAGAGAAAAAATGTGCAAAAGGTACCACTGAAGTTAGTAGTAGTTTTTTTAATAACCTTTTCTTCAGATATTTTTTTCAATCTCATATCGTTTACAATGGTCATTCGGCTGGAAGGAAGAAGGAGCAAATTTATCAAGTCGTCAATGCATCCTTTCTATAAAATGATTGCTTTCTAGCCTAATTAACGGGACAAAATAAATGTGCAGTTGACTCTAATGACATATGTGCAATTTACTCCTTTTTAATGAATAATTATGCTTTTCCTATGTTATCTCATAATAGTAACGAAAAATCTAATAATACAACGAATAATGCTAAAGTTAAAACATCGAAACATGGCGTGAAACGATGAATCAATCTGCCGACGATTATCATATCATATCAGTCTATCAGTTAATAATATATACTGGACACCGAAAATATGAAAAAGCATTTCTGGTTCGTAAGGAAGAAAAAAGGCAGAAAAGCAAAGGTTAAATCCTAAGAATAACTGAAAAAAAGGAATTAATAAAATCACTACCATCAAAAACTTAAACAACTGAATTAAGCCAAATGAAATAGCAATTTTGAGCATAAAATGAAATAGCAGTATAGAACTGAAAAAGTTGTGAAAATAAAAAACTTTTGGAAAAAATCAAGTCAACCCTCTGAAAATTTAATGAATGATGCATACCAAAATTAATTTCATGAAAATGATTTCGATAAAATGGCTACGAGTGTTATTCAAATCGACTTTATCCCAAATCGGCTTTGAGCTCTTTTATTTTTACCTATCTCATTTTTACGTTAACCAAAAAACAAGATAACTTCAATGAACAATTAGGCGCGATAAGCAACAAAAATGAGGAAACTTACCTAAAATGAAAAATAAATAATCATAATGAATACCAAGCTTGTAAAAAATAAAGAAATACGAGAATCATAGTTAGCTGAAATATTGCGAAAAGAAATAAATTTAAACCAAATTTTTCTAAAAAAAACCTAAATTACAAGCAACCACTGTTGCCATCTAAATATGTGAATAAAACAACCAAGTTAAAAATCAGCAGAACAAAAATTGTGCCACTAGTTAAACGATTCTCGCCTCTTATTATCTCATTATGTCCACAGATATCTAAAGAAGACTCTTACTTCGATGATGTCAACGAGCTCCATATCCATGTCTCTGGGAAATATTTCCTAATACGAATCGGTTTCGAAATATCGAAGTTCACTCCAGTGGTACTTCTATCTGCCATAACATCAGGAATAGCCATCATTGGTTGATAGAGAACTGCAATAAAATGTCAGTGAATTTCATGAGAAATTTATGCTTTATCCTTCATTAAAAAATGGAAAATTAGAATATAAAAACTTGACAATGTATTCCTACAAAAATTTTTGGAAATATCCCCATTAAATTTCGAATCTAAAAAGAAAATTTTTTTTTTAAATAATTCGTTACTGACTTTAATCAAGCAATTTGTTTCAGCAAAAACAAATTTAAATCCTTCGATCAAGATATACAAAAAAAGAGAGAGGTTTGAAAGAAGATTCGTACTTAAGTAAAGAGGATTATAGTAAAGAAGAGTAAAGAGGACATCTATAGCCAAAAAACATACCAAACTCTGACAGGAGTGAACCTGCCATTAAAGAATACCAGTGCAGGCGTGCCGCCTATGCGAATATGTGTGCAGATTAGCGACAAAGCAAATTTAAGAACAGAGTTGGATAAAATGTGGATGTAAATATGGACAAGCATACGTCTTGCGAAAGGTACAACCCATCAGTTCTTATTGTGAATTTTCAACAAATTGAAATTTTTTAAACAATTTTCAAGTTTTCACTTTGGCCAATAAATTAATGACGAGAGATAAAGCGAAAAAATTATTAGTACAAATTTTTTTAGCAAAGAAATCTTTTTACAATTAAGAACGTTTGAATAACTGAAACCCCGTTTTTTCGACAAGTTTCTTCGATAACTTAATGAACTTACTCGGTGGTTCGGGTTGCCGATACAAATAAGCATTTGTTAGAACGATAAGGCCAGATTTCTGAAAAAAGTCTTCGCATGCGAGGGTCATCAGTCAACTTCCTTATTAAATGAATTCTTTTTTTTTTGATGTCCATATTTTTTATTTTTATAGAAGAAAGGATTTTCAGAAAAAAAATGCATTAACAAATGCGGTAATCTGCAAACTTCCGTGCAATATCTGATAATTAAAAGAGTAAATTCGCTCTCTTTAAAATTTGAGTAACTGCAGGTTCGAATTCTATATTTTAAATTCAAGAATAGATTGGCAATAAAAGAAATTTGTACGACTAAAATTAGAAAAAATGCAAAATTTTTATTTTGCATAAATAAGTAAAATTCAAAAACATGAAATTCATTGAAGAATTTCATTAAATTTCATTTAAAAAGTTCAACTAATGTAATTAGCCTATGGAGAAAGCAGAACCTGTGCTCTGGCCGAACTCAAACCGACGAGTTTCCAATCCAAAGCCTGACATTTTTCGAATAGGTTTATCCTCAATAAATTTCGCAAAACCAGTGATTTGCGATATTTATTGGTGATAATTTGTCTGAATTTCTCAATTTCCTATGAATAATGGTGAAAAAGAAGGCTCCAATATTTGACAAATTTTTTCTACGCACCATTCACAAAAATGATATATATGGTTGGATTATTTCCGGTCATTAATGGTCTTCTAGTTTTATTGAGTTGCAGCGATAAATAGAGGTTATGTTGAAGCCTAACCGTATGGAATGATGGTGTGGCCTAGTGCTTTTCTGGTGAATAATCAGTGGTCAATAGTCAATGAAGCCAACCAACCAGAAATGGTGAATAATGGTGAAAAAAGAAGATGAATAAGCATTGTATATAAATAAAGAGATTGAATAAATTATTCAGATGGCTTTTAGCACCAAAATTTTTTTAAACCTCTAAGCCAGAGAAACTTGAAAGTGAAATTAGAAATAACTTCGAAAATAGTTTCAGCATCCTTTCCACCAACACCACACCAAGGGTACCAAATGGATCGTTTGCGTCGAAATGCGGCTTCCCAAGGACGTGCATTCAGTACGCCATCAGTTGTATCATATTGTCCTATATCATGTTCAACCTGCAATAAATTTTTTTAAAAAAATTTCCTTCACTCTTTTCTGTAATTCCACAATTTCTAGCATTTTTTAAATTTAAGCACCACTATAATTTATTTCTTCATCCCTATCTCTTTTATAATTAAAATAAAGATGTAATTCCACAATTTCTAGCTTCAAGATGTTATTATTCCTCATTGCCACTATTGAAATTCTATCATATTCAGTAACAATTCTTTTTCTTCTAACAGCTTTTATCATTACTGGTTACGTCTCCAAGCTATTCGGTCTAACGCTATCATTGACAGTAATAGAAGCCATTCCTTTTTCCATCGTCAAAATCCATACATCACTGGTTTTACAAAACCTTTCTTGACAGCCCAGGTCTTGACTAGACCATCTTGCTTTTGACGTCATCCACCACACGTTTTAGCAAGTAATGAAATAAGTCAATTTTGTATGGATGCAAAGAATGTGCTTTAAGGAGCAGAGGTAAAGTGATGGTACTGTTAATGCAGGTGGTATCTGAACGAAGTTGGAGAATCATGTGAGATTTTATTCCCTCGATGGACCTGCAAAATAAACCTTAGATATGAGTGATCAAAGTCTGATACTTTCTTAATATTCTCCACTCTCATTGGCCATCTCGCAGATATATAGCATTAAGGGAATTGCGATTATAGATACTTTCGGGCTTTTGTTTCATAGTGATTTCGCGATGAGTCCATAAAGATTTCATCAATTGGATGAAGGCATTTCTAGCTGTTGTTATTCGGATTGTAGCAATCCTTTGTCTGGCCATTTAATATTAGAGTGAATCCAAGATATTTAAAATCAAGCATTTCCTCAACCGGCTATGAGTGAAAAGAGGCATTTTATGAGCGCACTTCTTCTTGGACATAAGACGAAAAGACTATCATTTTATTTACATTGACCTGAGTCCGATTCTCACTGCAGTCACTGACACATTATTTAGCATTATTTGCATTTCGTCATAGCTATTAGGAAAAAGGGCTACATCATCAGCGTATTCAAGATCTATGATATTATGCTCTGGATTAATTTGTCCATCTCTTGATTGCCGACAAGCGATGTCCATTATCCATCTATCGCATAGTTGAATATTGTTGGGAAAAGGACGCAGCTTTGACGGACGCCAGTTCTTATCTCCAAGGAATCTATCAGTTATTCTCCATAAAGATCAACCTGTGTCAACGTGATAAAATGTGATAAAGTGCCTTTATGAGGCGAATGATCTTCTCTGGAACACCATCACATTTCATCACCCCCAAAGCATTAGTCTGTCAATCTTATTGAAAGCATATGCAAAATTAATGTGATGGTGGGTTGCTGATATTTAAAGTGGTACAACAGCATCCTTCTTAGCGTGGTCTGGTCGGCACAATCATGTCCTGGTATGAATCCAGTTTGGTTAGGGCGTATATTCCTGTTTAATAGTAATTATAGAAATAAAGCAAATGCGAACCAATTCTTTAGTAATATCGTTACCAGATTTCAAAAATAGTACGCTTTGATCAATAGCATATATACCAACATAAGATTCAGGGTCTGCTTTCACAGTAAATTTGACTTTTTCGCCAGGTTCAGCTGTATTGCGGTCGATCACTAATGAAACCTATAATTTCAAGTGATGATTAAAAAAGAGTCCACACTATATAATGTAACAAAATTTCGAAATTTCTGAAGAATCTTAAAAATTTACGTTATTTCGGAAGAGCCCATCAACTCTGAAGTCGCTGACGTCAACCAAAATTTCTTGATTAGATGGCCTCACTGTATAAACAACAAGACGTGATTTTGGAGCCATCTGAGGTGTTGCTGCAAATGTCACTGTGGCTAAGTCACCGTTCACCGATAACTGTTGCGTTAGAACCACCGATCCACGAGCGATAACCTTGTAATTTCATCACTTTTCTTCCAATATTCTTCTATTAAAAATCCTCTTCCTTTCTCATCCAAAAGTTTTAAACATATAAAACCAAAAAAAGTTCTGAAAAAATCTCATTAATTTTATAATATCTCTTAAAATAATATACCTGATAAGCAATTATTGATACAGATTCAGTTGCTTTAACAGTAAATGACAAAGTTTTTCCAGCATCTATTGCACCGTCGTGGTCAGGTATGAGCTGAAGATAACTGTTTGAAGGACTTTTGCTCGCTTCAATATAGAGGCTCGAATAAATCACAGCACTGGTGAAATTATCTTGGCCTGAACGATCATACTGTGCCTATAATTTTTTCAAAGATGGGATAATTAGTTAGTGAATCAATGTATTTTTCAAAGAATCGTAGAATTTGCAGTAAAATTTTGTACCTCGACTCTGGCACTTGAGCAATTACGTGGTGGTTGTAAATTTATTACAGCCATACCATGTGCATCCAAGTCGACGATTTTTATATCCTTATCCTCATGTTGATTAGGAGAATCGGGCACATATGGATAGTTATAAAACGTAGTTACCTAAAACTGATCGTATTTAATTTAATTTAATCTAATTTATCAAATTTAATTTCTTTTTTTGTCTTTGGCAGAAGTAAACCTGCTATTATGTCAAAAATCCGAGTGGCTGCTGGGGACCCATCTGTAACTCTATCCCCACTCTATGGTGAAAGGGTCAGATACACTTGGTACGGCGTCCGACGTCCGCGTCTCCCGACGAGCATGATACTTCGAGCCCGGTGGTACATGCGGTAAGTATAAAATCCGGACTTAAAGCGATCCTAAGGCTGGTAAATAAAATGCTCTCAAGCCAGGGTAATTGCTCGAAACATATCAAGGGGAATAGCCCTTTGCAAGCGAGGCGAGGTATTAGCCGTATCAGCATGGAAAGTCAGAACGCTTATGGACGTTGCAAGCCAAACCATCACTGTCCACACCCAGTCTAAATATCGTGTGGATATCGCTTGCTTGTCGGAGGTCCATCTTCCTCACTTTGAATCTCGAGTAATTAATCCTGGTTCAGATCAGAGATATCACTGTGGTGCTTCGAATAACTCGGGACGAAATGGCGTAGCGATTGCAAAGGCCCATTCCGCTTTGATTGAATGGAAATCGGTAAACGACCATATGGCCTATGCCCGTTTTAAGGGTAAAGGGCAATATCTCGGTCATCAGTATCTATGCTCCAACTCTGTCGGCAGATGACCGTGATAAAGACAAGTTCTATGCGGAACTTCAACTAAGTTTCTACCGAAACATGACATGATTATAATCGGGGGAGACTGGAAAGCTCGCGTAAATCATAATGCAACTACGATGACCTCAACAATTGGCAAATATAGCATCGGAGACCGGTGTGTCAATGGAAAACGTCTTCTTCGTTATACCGAAGAGCATGAACTTTTTGTTGCCAATACTTGCTTCCGGCATAAAAGAAAACATCTAGTCACGTAGAACTCCAAGGACAACCAACACTTCAACCAGATTGATTATATCTTAGACAATTCACAGAAAGCAACATCCCTCAAGATTCTTCAATAATTTCAAACTAAAAAATTCGGAGATCAGTGAGCGAATTATTGAATCTTCTCAATGGGATAAATATCAATGATTTTTCTGGAACAGCAAATGAATACTGGTTCAAACTAAAGGAATGTCTCTGAAAATCAGCTACTTCCATGCTAGGGCATACTAGTAGGAAGAGCGCTAGGTAAGAGTTGGGTATCGGAAGCAACTGTCCTGTTGTCAGAAAAAGCTACCAAAAAGCTGCAGGTGATCCTGACTACCGGGTGCTTCGAAGATTTGCAATGAAGGCAGCAATACGGGACAGAAATCACTATTGGAGTGATATGATCTCAAGAATGGAGACGGCGGCTAGATTAGGCGATAATAGGAAACTATTCTGCTTTCTTCATAAAGCAAATCGGTAAACGATATAATGAAATGGTAAGAGACAGCAATGGCGTACTAATCAAAAGTATTAAGGATCGCCTCATAAGATGGAAAGAATTCTTTGAGGCCAAATTTAACCATGAAGCACCATCTATTGCCCTGATATAGCTGATACGTTTGGCGAAGCATACGCTTGCAATTCCGAGCCTCCAGTAGAAGCAAAAATAATTTCAGTTATCCATAAGCTTAAGGCCAACAAATCTCCAGGAGAAGATGGTCTTCAGGCTGAGCTTTTCAAATGCTGTCCATCATCTTTCATAACGCACCTTCAACAAATGCACTTTTTAGTATGGAAAAAAGAAATATTACCAGATGATTGGAGCAAAGCAATTCTGCTCCCAATTCTCAAGAAAGGTAAAACATATTGCGACAATTATCGAGGAATCAGAAGTCTCAGCAAAAATTTTTCCTTCCCTGCTACTCAACAGACTTATGGAAATACGGGGCAGCAGTATGCGCCCTAATCAAGCTGGTTTCAGACCAGCGCGCGGTTGTGCTGACCAGATATTCACTTTAACAAGGGTGTTGGAACATTCGCTTCAAATATTTGCAATATTACACGTGTTTCATCGACTTTGCTGCTGCCCTTCATTCAATTGATAGAGCGGCGCTTTGGAGGATGATGGAATGCCACGATGTTCTAGAGAAAATCATTCGACTCATAAAGGCATTTTGTGAGCGTAGGTCGACCCAAATCTGTGTATATAGGGAGCTGACAGATTCCTTCGAAATAAAAACAGGTGTCCGTCAGGGCTGCGTCCTTTCCCCCACAATATTCAACTATGCGATAGACTGGATAATGGACACTGCTTGTCACTACTCAAGGGTTGTCCAAATTAGTCCAGCCCATCGTATCACAGATCTTGAATACGCTGATGATGTAGTTTTTGCTGATAGTTTTGATGAAATGCAACAATGTTAAAAAACGTGTCAGCAAACTGCAGCGAGAATGGGACTCAGGATTAATGTAAATATAATGAAAGTGTTTTCGTCTTATGTGCAAGATGCTGATAAAATGCCTCTTTTTGTAAATTTATAGCCGATTGAGAAAGTGAGGAAGTGCCTGATTTCAAATACCTTGGGTTCACTCTAATATCAAATGGACAGGCAAAAGATGATATTATAACTCCGATCATGGCAGCTAGAAATGCGGTTGACGAAATCTTTATGGAATCGTCGTGAAAATCACCATAAAAACGAAAGTCCGCATCTATATTGCCGTGATCCGTTCGATCTTACTATATGGTTCTGAGTCATGGCCAATGAGAGTGGAGGATATCAAAAAAATATCTGTCTTTGACCACTCTTGTCTAAGATATACATATTAGGGATCCGTCGAGCGGATAAAACATCACAAGATCACAACCATCTTTGTTCAAATATCACTTGCATAAATAATGTTTTTACAGAGCGCCGCCTTCGGTGGTTAGTGCACGTTCTCCGTCATCCATCATATGAACTGACTCACATTTCGTTACTTGCTTAACCCTGTGATGGCTGGCGTCAAAAGCGAGGTGAGCCAATCAAGACCTGGATTAATACGAAAAGATTTTGAACGTATAGGTGGACCAGCAAGATATGGATTTAGACGATGGAAAAAGGAATGGTTTCCATTATTGTCGACGATGGCATCAGACCGCACCGCTTGGAAACGTCTTATCCTTGTAGCCATTGAAACCAGTCTAACCAGTAATGATGAGAACTGTTAAAAGAAGAAGAAGAAAAAGAAAACTGATCGTATGGGAGCCAAAACTCTAACAGAAATGATAAAAAAAACCTAAGTTCACCTGAACACGTTTAGGGACTGATGCTTTAATGGGTGTATCATCCATTTGCTTCAATATAACGACTACATTATAGATTAATCCTGGTTTGAAAGTTTCCCCTTGTTTTTCAACCTCGAGCTTAACATCATGCTTGTACGCAACCACCTAGAATATGAAGTAACATTTAAGAAAAGTCAAAAAAAATTTTAAAAAAATGTCAAACAAGAGCAAATAAAACCTATATAAATCTCGATATATCTGAGGTACGTTACAGAAATATTTCTCTACCGCAGTTTAAATTATTAGGAAACCCATCTGTTCCTAACTACAAATGACGTGAAGCCAGCCAAACCAGAAATGTCGAGTTATAAAAAAATTTCTATTTCTAAAAAAATTTCTAAAAATTTTCAACCAAACTTTTTTACTGGAATTCTATAAGAATAAAAAATTTGGCTAACATGAGCTGATGCATTCCTTTGAATATTCGTCAAATCTTCAATAACTGTGGCTAATATGTTAATTGAATTACCGCCATAAATAGTAATCAAGCGATGTTTCTTTAATTCCTCGTTAGTAAATACAATTGTCGCTTCACCCATGTTGTTGAGTTTCACGGTTCGTTCGATGACACTCTCGGTTTCTGTCTATAAACACGGATTTCGCTATTTCCTTGTTCCTTTTGAATAACAGTGTTTTAGAAAATTCTCCCAGTTCGCTGTTACTGAACGACGATTAAATAATACTGTGGATTATTCCGATCCACATATTCCGAAAATTCCTGATGAAGTGGTTTCTGCATGGTCCTATGGGGAAGCAAAGCTTGTTTAATTACGATTAGAAGAATTCTAATTCTAGGCTGCGATTGTTTCATCTGTATATTTCGATTATTTCTTTATGCTTATTGTTCATTATCAATCATCAATTCATTATAAGAAAAACTAAAAGAAATGGAAAGTTGATGAACTTTAATCCGAATATTAAAAATTATTATATATAAATTATTATAACTAATTGAAGAGCTGGAATTTTAACGTCCAGCAATTACTGCAATCAAAAATAAGAAAGAACAAATAATAATTCAAAACCTGTGCTGTCGCTCCATCATCCTTGATTAAGATCGGCTGCGGTATAGAATGCCATCTATGCCAAGGTAGCTCCAATACTATTTTCACCTTTCCAGAAACTCCTTTGCCATAGGTGTATCTTAATGTAAACGTTTATATTTAAAAATTAAGGATTTTAAATCTGAATGACAATGAAATCTGAAGATCTTGGTTAGATACAAAAAAAATTTACTTAGCATCTATATGAACGCTTAATGGATCAGTAATAGTGATAAAGCTTGGTGTTTTGATGTTAACATCGAATTTTGGTAAAATATATTTGTCGACGGTGAATGGCTTCTCGAACTTAATGCCATTTTTGGTTTCAACTGAAATTTGCCATTCTCCAAGAGGTGGATCAGTCGAAAGTCCAATTTCTCCGCACAAAACACCTAAAATTCATGAAAATTAGTGATCCAATCCTGAATTATGGCTATAATTCTTTAGTTCATTTTTCGAAACTTAATGTGTAATAATGTGAATAATGTTGAAATTTTACCCTTGGTGAGAACCTTGTCAATCTGTTGTTTAATGACATTTTGACTCGGATCTCGTATTCTTACGGAAATTGTATTTGATATATGTGGCGTCAAATCAGGATTGACAACTATCACACGATATTGAACTGAAAAACAAAGACAAAAATTTGTATACTGCTTCTAAGCCAACTAAAATAAAAATGGGAAAAAGTAGAAAAAATAGGAATTGAAGATTCAATCGATAAAGTATGATTTCAATAAAACAGACAGGAACGGCAGATGAATATTGGTCCAAAGGAATGTCTCCGAAAGTCAGACATTTCCACGCTAGAGCATACTAGTAGGAAGAGTGCTAGTTGGATATCGGAAGCAACTGTCCAACTGTCTGAAAAAGCTACCAAAATACAAATGACAGATGATCCTGACTACCGGGTGTTTAGAAGATTTTGCAACGAAAGAAGCAAGGCGCGATAGGAATCACTATTGGAATAACATGGCTTTGAGAATGGAGACGACGGCTCTATTAGATGATATTAGGAAACTATTCCGTCTTCTTCATAAAGCAATTATAACTTGGGATTGGGGACTTGGGGATAAAATGACACGCGATAATAATGGTGTGCCTGTTAAGGTTATTAAGGATCGCCTTGTAAGGTGGAAGGATTAAAAACCAAATTCAACCACGATGCGCCATCTGTCATTTTGGTCACAACTAATGTTCGTTGAACCATATGTTTACAAACCGCCAGCAGAACAGGAAATCTCTGCCATCCAGAAACCTGATGAAGTCTCAGTCTGAACTCTTCAAATATTCGTCGTCCTTCATAATAACCTTCAACAACTATCACACGATATTGAAGAAAAAATAATATCAGACGACTGAAGCAATGTAATTCTGTTCCCAATTTTTAAAGATAACAAGACAATTACTTCCCTCCCACTGAAATAGACTTAAGGAGTGGGATGGTCCAGTTGTTGCTCAAGTCGCAATAAATCTGGGGCCCGATTCCTTTTCTCTATCACTATTACCAAAGGACTCCCTGGCATATTTGTCCAACGCGACAAGCCAGTGGAGCAAGTCTAACCAGTAATGATAAGGGTCTTAAAAAAGAAAAATCTGAAGAGATTTATGGCAGTACGAGGTAGCAGGATGATGTTTTCATTTCAACTTTTAGAAGCAGTGGAAATAAAAGATTAAGATTCTCCAAAGATAATATAAACTTTTATTTGTTCCTTTTTCTGGAGCTGGATTCAGGCAGTTCAAATATCTGCAACCCACTGTTTTGTGTTTCATCGACTTTACTTTCGATTCAATTGATAGAACTTTGGAAAGAGATGAAACATGATGGTGTTCCAAAGATCGTTCGACTTTTTATATACAAGAAGCTGATAAAATGCCTCTTTTTATAAATTCATAGCCGGTTGAGGAATAGCTTGGATCCACTCTAATATCGAATGGCCAGATAAAATATCATTATTGCAACGGCGGCTAGAAATGTTCTGGCTGACGAAACATTTATGGAGCCGTCGTGGAATCACCATAAAAACAGAAATCCACATTTATATAGTAGTTCGCTCGGTCTTGCCCTATGGCTGCGAGACATGGCCAATGAGAGTGGAGAACATTAAAGTTATCTGCATTTGACGACTCATGTCTAAGGTACATTTTTATGGGTTCGCTGAGTGGATAAAATTTTACTTGATCTTCAAATATTTTTGTTCAAACACCACTTGCATTAACATTCCCACCACAGAGTGCCTCTTTCGCTAATTAGGGCACGTTCTTCGTCGCCAAGAGTTGACACATATTTCATTACTTGCGAAATCCTGTGATGAGTGGCGTTTGAACATATAGGTGGGCCACAATATATGGACTTAGATATTAGAAAAAGGAATGGCTTCTATTACTGTCGACGATGGCATCAGATCGCTCAGCTTGGAAACGTCTTACCCTTGTAGCCGTTGGAGCCAGCTTAATTAGTAATAGTGAGAGCTGTTTAAAGAAAGAAGAAAGCAGATGATTATGGCACAAATTTTCTGATAATTAATTTTAATGGAATTAAACTCATGGATCAAGAAATGATATGCTTTTAGAAATAGGATATAAAATTTCCAGAGGAAATAAAAAACACTAAACGATAAACAAACCAAGTGATCCAGGCTTATATATAGCCTTATCAGTCTGTATGAAAATCGATATAGATTTTATATCGAATTGAACTTGTTTTTCATCTTCGAAAATTATTTTTGAACCAATCGTTTCCGCTCTTACATAAATTTTATATTTCAAGCCAGGCAATAAACTATCTGACGATAATTCTTCAATTGTCACCGTTTGTGGCACACCTGAAAATATTTACGGTTTCGGATTCGTATAAGTGGTTAATTTTCACTCGAAAAAGTGTCCATAAAATATGACCTTGGTTAGTAATTTTTTTTAGCGTCGCGGTTGCATATATATAAATTATATTAAGCATAAATTAAATATTCAAGAAATTCAGAAAAAGAAATCTGTTTTTCTGTCATAATTTTCAAAAATTTCTATTGATTTCTACTGTTTCATGCTCAAATCCATCATCTAATTTTTTATTATAGCTAGAGCAGTAAATCATCTATAAAATAGTAAAAATTTCACGGGATACCTGTTTTTACATTATTAACGACTTTGGCTCCAATAGTATCGTTTTGCTCAGTCCGTATTTCAACACGGACGATGTGGTCACTTTCTGCACTTTTTAGAATATTCACTGATACTGCATATGGTAAGCCAGGGCGGACAACTTTCGGTGCAATTACCAGATATGTACCGTCACTGCAAATTAAATTAGTTCTTGAAAGTTCTGTAAATGAGTTCTTATTATTTCTTATTTAGACAGTTAATAATTGGAGGACCTCCAATGGAATTCTCTGCGAACTACATAACTATTTGCGACAAAACACTTGGCTCATCAATAATTCATTTAACATTACATATAGTTTCATTAACAGTTATGAATGAAGATAAGCTGACAAATTCTAAGAAAAAAGGACGTGTTCTTCTACAAGAATTTCACGATGAATGAGGACTTTAGTTGTTTCTTTTTTTGAAATTAGAAAAAGGAAAATGGAACGCTTAAGATTCCAGTTAAGCAATTATTATTATGATTCCAGTAAAAAAAATAAAATTTTCATTTTTTGTTCTTGCAGCCTTTAAAAAGTTTGTCCATAACTGATGCATATATTATAATTCATCCAAAATTACAAAATTCATCTCTGGAAACAGTAATTCTATAAACCATTTTTTATTTTTTTAATATTTTTTTTAATAGGAGAGCAAGAGAAATTTTTCTTACTAAATTTTTGTCGGTGGTTTATTCGTAGTTATCTTCGAGAATGTTGGCAAAATATCTACAGAAGTTGGGGGGAGTTGTGACGGCACAAGATCCTGCTGACATTTAGATAGAACAAATAGGAGAAGGAAATGAATAGCCACGCGCATCGTTAGAGCGCTTTATCAGAATTCGTCAACAAATTAGCCGATTAATATCTTATTGTCAAATTTTTTCCTGAAAATTGTGAGACATTGACGTTCATTCGTGTGCACTTTTTCGATTACACAATAAGGAAAATTTTTTGGAAAGGAAAAATAAATGAAAAATCTGAATTTGTAAGGATGAAAAAAACGAATATAGTTGTCCCATCAAAAGCCACTGAAAATTCAATAAAAAATGATTATCATATAGTGCTTCTAGCAGATACAAAATTAATGAGTATTTTTTGGATTTAATTGTCATAGATTAATTAATTCAGATTGGTACTAAAGAGAAAACAAAAAACAACGAGAAAATAACGAGAAGTTTTTTATGGACGAATGATTCGTTTCGCAAGCGCAAAAATAATTTTGTCAAAGTATCATTAAACAATAATTATTTGGTCTTTCACAAAATCAAAATTAAAAATCAAATTTTGAGACATTTTTCAAGTGTTAAAATTTATTTATATCTAAATTTTTGCCAGTGCTTTATGTGCAGCTATTTTCAATATAAACGAAAGTCTCATTGGCACCTTATTTCTAACGATATGTTTAGACGAGAGTTTCCAAGAGAAGAAGGGTCGAGAAGAACCTATAATGGCCCGATTTTAGTCGAAGAATGAAAAAGAAAAGAGGAAATTGTTTTGAAGAGGAACATGATCGATCGTTGACTTAGAAATGAAAATCATCCAGTAGTACTGATATTTAAAAAACATTGCGTTAAACAACTGTGTAACATAATTTTTATACTTTCACAGGACTGCATTAATTTCAGTAGATTGGAATGGTTATTAAGTTTTCAGGATTTCAGAACAATTTAATATCATTTATAAAATAATTCATCTGCTTAAGTCATTCCATACCTATATTCTAAGTCCATATGCACTTCTTGTAATTTTTCTGCGACTTCCTTTACGAATTCATTGTTTTCAAGGGTTTTCCCTCTTATTTCTAGTTTATTAGTTCTATTAATTAGCATAATAAGACGTTGGAGCCACTTGGGTACAGAAAAATCCAATAACACTCGAGTTCAGTTTTGCTCTCATCTAGGAATAAGGGACCGAATCCATGATGCTTGGTTGAAGCCGAAGCACATACCTATCATCGACAATGTTCTCTATCTCCCTTATTCACAAACAAATTAAATTATTTAAACTACTTAAAAGTTGGTTTCAAATTAAAAGCAAAAAAAATAAAAAATTGAGTTGAATTATATTTTATGCAGTAGAATTACCAATTTTTATGATAAAAAACAATAATTGAAAACTTTAAAAGTTTCTTTCTCTCGACGTAATGGATAAATAAAAATTTCTTTTAACAGCTGTTCTATAAGTTTAACTCTTATTTGCAATCAAAAGTTGATTAGCAGTAATTTAGCTCGAAATACTGATTGTAAAGTCGAACGAGCCAAATGATATGAATGGCTTCAATCGAAATTGTTACGAAAGCCATGAAGAATCGCAAAAATTGAAGTTCAGCAAGTTTAATCAGCACATTTCTTCCTCAAAATTCAACACAATTATCAAGTGAATTTTTCATCTTCTGGTCGAAAGAAAATATGATTAAAGAAGGTTAAAATCGAAGTTAATGCCAAAGGTGAATCAGATAACTCATTTCTCAGCCCTTCTTTATTAAGTAACTGTTAGTCATTGAACGAATGATTAGTATGCTTCGAATCATAAGTCAGGCATTGCAAAGCCTTAGATTAATAAATTGACCAACGAGCGCAATACCAAAGGCCAAAAAAATAAGGAGGCAAGAAATTTAATGCAGAATTTAAAATTAAACCTAATTTCAAGGAATAACAGTAGTTATCAGTAATTAAATCGAATAACAGTTTAATTCAAAAATATAGATGTAAATAAATAAACACCTGGAAATAATAGTAAAATTAAATAATTATTCAAAATAAATAAATAAAATGAAGAAAACGAGTAATTTACAAAAAATGCAAGTTCATTGCTCGTTTAAAAATGAAACGTCAGGATAAATCCCCAGAATCCACAGAATTATTACTACAAATAATATGTTTAGGTGAGGCATTAAAATGGCGAAGTCAAATGTCTCCATCTTCAGTTATTCTTTCTTTTCGCTACGTTCATTTCTTACGAAACCTCTAAACATTTATCTGATACTGCAACTTCGCAAAAATAACCGGTTTTTTTGAATGACTCAATCGCTTTCACTGAAATAAAAAACAATTCTGTTACAAAAAGGATTGAAAAAAAAACTAATATGAAAGAGTGGTTCCTTAAGCCTAAAATATAACTTCGTTTTAATTTTTTAATTTCTCAAGGAAATGAACTAAAACGTGGAAATAAGTATAAAATTTCCATAAACCAGTAGTAAAAATAGGAATTTTAAAAATTTAACAAAAAATTTGATTAAAAAAATTCGGCAAAACGAAAAAATTCATTAAAACTCGTTAGCTGAATTTATCAAATTGGTAAATAAATAATTGGCAAATGGAATCGAGCGAAATGGTTCGAAATTGAGAAAAAAAGCGTAACTCAAAAAATCATCTGCGAAATATCTGTTAAAGAATCTCTTCTAAAAATGTGGCATCTGCATTCCATCCATCATTTGCTGGCTTGGCTGGCTCCACTGCCAATTAGAATGAGAGGGTTGGAGATATAGGCAATACCACTCAGATGAATATGTCATTAAGAAACAGAAAACAGAATCCTATATCTTTTCAGTTTGCAACCTTAAGCCAAACCTAACACTGAACTTTCTACTATTACAAATATAAACCTAAAAAATTTTCGACTTCAAATTATAAAGAAAGAGACCAGCTATAAATGCTATAAGTTTGAAAATGTATTGGGATAAGAACGAGTAGGATTAAATACACAGAGCAAATAACCAGTAATTAAATGAGTAATGTGCTATGCCTCGGCAAAGCACAATAAAAAAAATAGTTCAATGATCACAGGTAAATCTAAAACGAAGTTCGACGAAGAAGTCTATGAAGGACGACATGATCAAAGATTTTAATGAAAATGTGCTGATTCATCTCGAAAATTTACTCACATAAACATTATTGATAAATGACAAATTATAAATGATAACTGATAAACAGCTGATAAGCAATAATTGATAATTGTTCCCAATGCTGAGAACAATCCTGGAAAAATATGTGGAAAAAATTCCAGAAGATAGCATTTTGAAAGAAGAAGGAAGGCTGTGGATCTCTAAAATGGAAAAAAAATTGCTGGTAAAAGGGCATGCATCTTTTCAGAAAGTATCCAACCGATCACATAGAGCTCGAGTCTTTACCAGCCACTGTTTAAATAAGCCTCAGCAGATGGATAAAAAGAAAATAAATGTTGATTCAGCTGCACAAATAAGGATCATTTGTCACTTATTTCTGAAACAAATAGCTATAACTGGATAAGAATGTGACGAAAGTCTGCGTCTATCGACTACTACATCGATTCAGAAAACTAAGGTTAACTAAGGACATAAAAAGGAAGAAAAAGTCGTTCCACTTCCACCAGCTATCAGTAATTATTTTCGTTTTGAACAAATTTTGAATTTTACCATAGGACCATTGGGCACATATAACATAGGGGAGCTCGCGGCATCACTTGCATTGATTTTATTTCTGCCAGGATCGACTATAAAATCAAATAAAATTTATTTAATACAATCTATGATTCCGCCATAGTGTCCAACAAAAATAACATTATAAAAATACTGAAACCAAAAAATCAAGGAATTTTAACAATTAACTCCACATTCCTATATAAAGAGATTAGGAGATATCGAAATCTCTTTTTTATTTTAAACTCTTCTCTCAAAGCAGTCAATTTTTTAAGTTTTTTATGGTCCCAGTTTATTTCCTGATGTTTACTGAATGAAAAGAATTGTAAGAAATTTATAAATAAGCGAAAAAATTTTATTTACTTCTAAATCGACAAGATAGGGAAACAATGATTTGTCAAACTATCTCTCTCTTTTTCTGTAAAAAAATCTAGAATTTAAAATTAAAAACGTACAATAACCTAAAAATCATAAAGACAGCCTTGATGTATAAGGAGTGAATATGATCTTAAATGATACGTCCGCAGATTAAAAGTGCGATAGTGACCAGAGGCCATCAAAAGGTCAGATGTCAACCGAAAATGCCCGTTCAATGAAAGATCTGTCAGACGAAGAACGATGAACGATAACAATGTTTCATGGGTGAGAAGGCCGTACGATAGCGTCATCATTGCAAAATAACTGGTTATTCCTAGTCCTTTTGAATCCAATCCACATATACAAGAGAAATACCGAAAAGGGAAGTTATAATTTCAATTTTCATATTCATATTTTTATATTTTCATATATTTTCATATTTTTTTATTCATAGATTGCTTTTACTCACTTTTAAGCTTTAAATTTTCTCAAATTAAGCAAATTTGATTAGAGTTAATGCGGATATTTCGATCTCATCCTTGCCCGTTGAAACTGATCCGACTAGTCA